TTATTTTGATTTTATAAACTAAACGTTCACCAAAAAACTTTAGTGAGAAAAATCGAAAAAACGAACTACAAACATATTAACGCCAAACATACGGTAGAATTTATAGAATATTGTAAAAATTATGGTCTATTACCAACATATATATATATATCATTGTAAGTTTTTATGGTGAAAAAATAAAAGATGTTCCCATTATTATTATGAAAACTCTTTTATTTCAAAGCAAAGACAATAAATAAGTATGAAAATAAAATAATGAAATGTCACAATAATGTAATAAAATGTAATAAAATGTCAATGATTGCCACAATGCTCATTTTTTAGAAAAGTACATAGCGGTGAAGTATATTCAAATATATATCACGAATTGCTTCTGTCACAATATATGCCATACGATAGCTTTATAACAGTTTCTATCAATTCATCGTTGAATGAATCCGGCCACAAAATTTTAAAAAGTAAAAGATTAAAATTATTATAAAAACCTATTTATAATTATTGTGCAGTGTTTATAGTTGTCATTTAGATTACTGTGCAAATTATCTGAATATTTTTTGATCTTGTATTGCCTGGATGATTCAAGATTTGTTTCATGACAGACCGTCAACTCTAAGATCTCTACTGTGTTGCCTAGTTGGATGGCGATGTCAGGTCGTAGAGTGTTGAACAGATCTGATATAGGGTGAACACCGTCAATTTTCAAATCTGCAAACAACCGACAATAGGCAGGCGCACACAGTTTCAATCGGTTGGTGATCGCGGCCAAAATTTTATTGTGTTTTTCAGTGTATCTTTTAAGTGCGGATGTGGAACCGCAGTTAGAAATCACATGTTTATTTGTTTGTTTACAACCGCAGAGAGGGCACAGAGAGTTTTGCTCCATTTAAACAAATTGGCGTTTGTTGGCAGTTGCTGTACCAAATATTTTCTGGCAAATTTGAAGAGGACTCCAGCAACTTGACCAACGAGAAATATTATTAGTTTTGATGACGGTTTTTATTTTTGATATAATTGTGCCCTGACTCACAAGCGAAAGAACGTGGTTGAGACTTGATTCAACTCTTTCATCTTCCAGCTGTTTGAGCGATGATTTTAGGGCATTTGATTTTGAAAGGATATTGTCAACTTTGATGTAATTGATTGTTGATTCTTTGTACAAACATTGAATTTCTTTGTTTTTGTTGGTTTTAAAATAGTTTCGCAGTTTCAATCTCGTTTTCTCTGCGGTATCTTTTAGGGACATAATATTATGGCCTCCCATCTTTGCTGGCAGCGAATTTAGTTCTGCTACACAGCCACTAATTGGCATATCCAACCAGTTTCGGATAGCTTCAACAATTAGATTATCCAGATTTTCTGCTATCCAAGTCAACGAGAAACTGTAGCTGCGAAGTTCTAAATTTATTTGAGTGGGAACAAACCTTCTCAAAACCTGTAGCTTCTGTTGTGGGCGCACATCCAACTTTGAGATCTTTTCCAACAACTGAGTGACCTTCAACTGTAGCTCGTTTTTTGCTTTGGAATCTTTGCATTCATAATCGTACAGTTTGCCTAGATACGTGAAAGATTGACCAATTTCCACGTTAGGAATTTGTACATTTTCAACCGTTAACCGTGGCAAGAATTGAACATATTTGCCATCTTTTTTCCTCATTCCAAACGAGCAGCATTTATCAACTCTCATTTTCATTTCTGACCAGTTGCACCAAAGTTGATTCAAATCGATCAGTTTTTGTGCTCCATCAGTGCTGTGAGCAATGACTGCCGAGTCGTCGGCAAATTATATTATATAAATTATATTATTATTATTATTATTATTATTATTATTATTATTATTATTATTATTATTATTATTAGACAGTTTTGACATAATTGGCCAAAATTTAAACAATGTTGAAATTTGCCGTAGAACTATATTCTCCAATGACCTCGCGTGCGTGCATGCATCACACGTTTAAACAACATGGAAGTGTTTCAACAAATCAATTCTTTTAAAAATGAGTTTAAATAAATAAATTGAAGTCAGTCCGTACCTCTGTAGAAATATGTTTGAAGGTGCATGACAACTGCGATCCAACTCCAATCATTCATTATGGATGCACCTGTCAGCACCTCTCAACTCATACATGTGTTTTTATTTGTATTCAATTTTTTTATATTCAAAAACAACACTTTAAATTTTTAATAGAGTTAATGTTTTCAAAATTTAGAAGTTCAGATAATAATTAGGGTTATACACCAACGTCTAAATCATGAAATTTTTTTTATTCAGGTTCAAAAAATTGTTTAAGTGAAGATTAAGTAACAAATTTGTGGTTTACAAATGAAATTGTGAAGAAGAACAGCCGTAAATATCTAATGGCCTCATAACTCAGCTTTATCGAGTTAATTTGCAGCTTTTAAAAATTCAACACATCTGTTTAATTTTAAATTTTATAACTGCACGTGGCGAATCGTAAAAGATCGTGTGCTTGTTAGCGATTGTTATGGTTTTTTTGCTACTCTTTTCTGGCATCTGTTTGTTTCTTTGTTCATACGTTCAATCGTTCGTTCGCTCGTGCGTTTGTTCATTCATTTGTTCGTTCTTTCGTTCGGTCGTTTGTATGTTTATTTGAAAAGAGGCTTGTTTTAATATGTGTTAGTGTATGCGTGTATATATCATCATAACATCATAATAACAAAGTGCGTGTGGTTATGTGCGTGAATGAACATTCGTGGCAGCGTCCGTTTTGGTACGAGAATGAGATATGCGCTTTTGTCTGAAGGCTGATAATCAAAGATATTTGATACAACCCTAATTGGCCGACTCCATTATTATCTGCCTGTATATCTTTATGAATGTGCGGTTTAAAATTATGTGTGCGATAAATGTGGTTATACATAAATATATGGCAAACTTTTCTTGGTTAACGCAAAAATTTCAGTTTATTTCAGTATTAGTGATTTTCTTAAAAGTTTGCTCTAGCATTATTATTGTTGGTAGACTGAAACCCAAATTATTACAACTTCATTGAAAGATGTCATCAAAGATACCTTCACCAAAGGGAAATTTTTTTGCTTCCTGCTTGCTCATATTTTCTTATTTGTTTTTCATTGATTAATATTAATATATCATTTTTTAAAATAATTGTGTTCTAAATTATCACTGTTAGTGTATTAAATTTTCGTTTTAAAACAGTTCTGACGCTGCTGACAACAGACTTTTAAAGTCCTTTAACATATTCTTCCACTTAATGCTTATTACTTAATGCTACATTTCAGACGGGACAGGCGCTGAACCTTCACAAATAGCGGTCTTCTTAAAAAAATAATGATACTTTCAAATGATTTTTATTAAAATAAATACCTGTTGAAAACTAAATTTAAATAAATAAGTTGTTATCAGATGTAGAATAAGGTGAAGAAAAGTTTGCCAACTTTTTTTAGAAACCAATTATGCCATATTGAGTTGAAATATATTGTTAACTCTTGTTTTAATAAGCATAATAATTTGAAGAGATAAAACAACATTCTATAAAAAATGTTTAACATAAATTATTAAAAACATATTAAAATATTACTATCAATTATGTTACACCTGAATAAAGATTCATTTAAATCATTTAAAAAATGAATATTATAATTGAAATGCTCAAAAAAATCAGCTATTAATAAAAATTCCTATCTACGTGAGTCATTTCCACTTTTCCAAAAACAATTTTATCGAAATAAACTAATTTACATCGGAGTGGAAGTCACGAAGTTCCCACACAACTTCTTCCAACGCCCACATCTGTGGCACATTAGCTCATATGCATACAAACATAAATGGTAACAGGTGGTGTCCTTGTTATGGTTTGCTGTGTTTGTCTGTTTCACTGTGTGAAGTGAGTGCCCGCGTTTTTGGGTGCTTATTCGCACCCAAGCGAGGTTCCTTACTTCGTTCTCTTCAGCTTTTGACAGATTGGTAATTTAGAAATATAACCGCTTAACACGATGGCAATAAGTCAACCGAGATGAAAATATCTTTCAAACTTTCAAACGCCATGAAAATTGAAGTTGCAAGTATAAAAATGTGTGCTGCGAAGAATATTCATTGGGCTGCTGTTGTTAGACATATGGTTTCTAAATTTTTCCTCAGGTGATACAACCATAATTCATCAAGTTTTACTTTTTTTCGGAAAAACTGTTTTGTTGAGTGTTTCAACTAATAATGCCCAAAACTATAATGGCATTCATTAACTAATTGTTATAATGTAATCCCTCGATCAAATTACAAAATTTTGGCACCCCAGTCAACTTTGTTTAGATTTGCTGCTGGTTCATTAATGCCTTCAATAATATTGATAAGAAGTTGGCAAACTGTGGCTCACCAAGCCATTATAAGCGGCCCGTGAATGTTGTACGTATTTCTGGAAGCAGCCTCTAAAAGAAAATTTTATCCACTCCTGATATTGATGTTGAATTTTACAAAGTTTCAAATTCAAAAATGAGTATTGAAGTTGTTGCGTTTGCGTTTAATGATGAGAACACCGAACCAGAAAAGCAGTGAGCGGAAGAAGAAAAGAATGGTATTCGTTTGGATAGGCTGGACAAGTGTTTCGTCTCTACCGGGGACTCATCAGCAGCCCGAATACCTATCAGAATAGTAATGGCAGTTTCTTATAAAGCCCGCACAAATCAACTCCTTATTTCGTGGTGTTTTATTTACTAGTCTTTTAATCGCTAGGATTTTCAATCCGACAAAGTTGACATAAGTTTAAAAAGAAGCCAAAACGGTCTTAAATTACTTAAAAATCACTCCAAATTTTAATTTAATTATTTTCTTTTAAAAATATTTCTAAAACCTTACTTCGTTGAAAATTAAAACCTTCTAATTAACTTGTGGTTTTTCCAACATTATAGGGTGTGAAATGTAATGGGTAAATTTCTAATTAATAAAATAAGTTAAATCTTATTAGAGTGTAATTTTTTGCTGTAAATTTTGATTTTGTTGATAATTAGTTGAGCGTTTGCATGTGCCATTAAAACAATCAAAGTGCATCATTTATTAATTTTTATATATTCTCTGAAACTTCATCCGTTTATTACAGCTTCAAATATATTTAACCACATTAAATATTTACTTCAACTCGAACGACGAAATATGACCTCCTCAAAATTAGCTTGCATCGTCACGCGCTTGTTAAACCTTTATAATCTAATTCTAATAAAGGACTTATATGTGATCCTTGATAAATAATGCATATGTTCAAATGAAAAGCGGCTCTGATGTTAGTTGATGGTTTGATTTAATGCAATTTAATTTGATGCTAAATGTGGTTCTAATGAGATTGTTATGTTCGTGCATCTGACTGGGATAATGACGTAATGGCATTTCCTACTTCTGTTTAATAATAAGATTTATGTGAATCAAATGAGACAAGATTTCAGCGAGTGAGCTTGATGCTGCTCACATTAGCTGCTGAATACTGTTAACTATCAATGGCTCCTGAGGTGCACACTCCACAGCTTCACACGCATTTCAAAATATTCTAGATTTTTTGCTGCTTCTCAATTATTTGTTAAACATCATCCATTTCTAAAATTTCATTATTTTGCAAAATCGCAGAAAAAAGAATATAGGGATAATGACGTAATGGCATTTCCTACTTCTGTTTAATGATAAGATTTATGTGAATCAAATGAGACAAGATTTCAGCGAGTGAGCTTGATGCTGGATGAGAATATAGATGAAAATGTATAAGAAATGTTAGAGAGTCATGAATGTGGCAAGCATGATTTCAAGTCATTCGCAGCACGTCAAATCAAAAATTTATATTGAAAATGGAATTGAAGATTCCAAAGTTTAAAAAGTATATCGAATATTTTCAGCATAATGAAAATTAGATTGCTTCTAGCAAAATTTTCTCACACAGTTTTTTAAATACTTACATTAAAATTTGATTTTAAGTTTTAAAAAATTAATTTATTTCTTGTAAACAGTAATACTGAATTTAAAATAATTCCCACGAAGAAGAATTTCAATTTTTAAAAACTCCGCAAAAATTCAGCTTAAAGTTTGACACCATGGAAACAACGTCTGACATGCAAAGTATCACCGGCATGGAAACATTTCAACTTCAACAAAACAAACAATTGCAATGAGAACAAATAATTGTATTAAAAACAAATAAATTCAATAAGTACAAACAATTGTAACAAGAGCAAATACTTTAAATAAGAACAAACAAACTTTATAGCTAAAACTCGACATAAATACTGGAAATTTTGATTGATCGCAGTTATTGTGATTGCGAATGATGCCCAACATAATGCAGGGAACAAATGGCAAGAAAGAGAAGAAGCCCTAAACGGCTATCCATGAGATTATTTTTACGATTGCAATAAATTTTTCTTTATCTCTATAGGATTTTGCATGCATATTTGCGCTGAATACAATAATATGCATGAACATTTACTTGTATCCCCCCAGCACAAATAACTTGAAACGTTAAACTAATCTAAAACAAATGTTTTCATTTCTTTTTTTAATTAAGCCATAATGCAATTTAAATGTTTGTATTGAAACAAGTCTGCTGTGTCAAATTTTGTGGTTTAAATTACAAAATAGACTTAAAAAATTTATGAAATTTTGACCCAATTGTGATCAATACGTTTTGATGTTGTTTTGACTTTATAGTCACAAGAAAAAAAGGAAAAAGATGTCTTAGCTACTAAGCAATTTATTAATGAACTCGTAAACTTTTCAAAACCAAAGGTCATAACCATAAAACAACAGTAAACGTTTTAAGTTATAAATCGGTAGAACAAAGGTGATGAAACAATTTTTTTCCTTTTGTTAATCATTCTCTGGATTTTTAAACACTTCTCATTGGTATGCGAGAGATGCAAAAAAACTTTGATGACGTCACTGATATATGTGATGGTTGGACGGAAAGCTAATTTTGTTAGATTGTTTCATTCTGTCCGATAATATAATTATTTTAAATGGTTTTATGAATATTTCCATAATTTGTTCCACTTTCAAATAAACCACAAACAAATTTAAATAAAAGATTCAAGCAAAGTTTGTCGAAAAGGTGGTAGAACTAATGGATATTAAATAGAGGGTATGGACTTCTATTCAATATTTGGTTACCCTATAATTATTTTCAGATAAAAAAAAATAAACGTATCTCATTTATCAAATTAAATCAAATCAAAATCTTTTATTCAATAATCTCAAATAATTTATGCGACAAATAATGACATAAATAGAAGAAAATTATAAGGTTGATCGAGAAAAAGACCATAAAAGTTTATCTAGTCCGACCACCTTTTATCACTTTGATTATTGTTAGAAGAAATAGGTTATTAATGAAAAGTTAAACCCAAAATGTATTTATATAAACATACACACACACATATATACATACCTACATTAATTGAATTATCGGTAAACATATACATATATATACAAACACTCATACATATACAAAAAGGTTAAATTATTTAAATAATAGTTGAAATAAAGTATATACTCGGATTGTTATAATTTAATTAAAAATAAACTTATAATAAAGGTTAAAATAATTTTTTTTTCATTAATAAATATTTTCAAATTCTTCTTTAAGTTATTCAAAGATTGTTATCCTTGTAATCCAAGTTATCCTTGCATATTAAATTGTTTTTTAAAAATAGATTCTACATTCTTTGTCCAGAACAACTGATGTTAAAAAATAAGAGGTTTTTCTTTGTTGGTTATAAGATTAAATAGTTAAATTGTCTTGTTTCTCTAACTTTATTACAGCTGAAATAATCGTTAAAAGCAGGAGGGTGTATTTAGTGAAACTGTTTAAAAACAAAAAAACCTGTTAGGTAGGCATGTTGTTGATTAGATGAAAAAATATTTTCGACTGGAATTGATAAATTAATAGAAATTTTGGCACGACTTGATAACAATTTTGACGCTCTGTTCATGAGTTGTGAAATTGGTTTGGTGTTGGATTTGTAAGTTGAAGCCCACACCAAATTGTAGTGGTTTACATACGGTAAGCACAACGAGGCGGAGAGTGTTGTGAGTGCTTTTGTTGGTAGAAAAAATTTATATTTATTAATTAGACCCAAGCCTCTGGCAAACTTTGAGGATACGTTTTTAATATGAGGTATAAATGTTAAGTTAAGATCTAGGTACCTACATCCCTAGAAACTGGCAAATTTTAGTCTCGTTTATTAAAACGTCATCGATTATGATTTTGTAGGGCTCCTTATAGTAAAGGTATTGAACGGGGCCAAATACCATCAGTTAAGTTTTTGTTTTATTTATTGTGAATTTGTAAACTTCAAATCAACTTAGAACTACCTTGTCGTTTTAGTTTGACAACTTATTAGTATACATCCGTCCAGCAAGAAAAATGATTATTCCGATCAGATGTTTCACGTGTGGAAAGGTTATTGGAAATTTATGGAACAAATACTTGAGACTATTAGAGGCTGATTACACAGAATGGTCAGTACTTTTTTTTATTAATTTCAATTTTTGCTTAGATTTTTAATTTAGCCAAGAATTCATTTTTAAATATGAAAAACAATTTGTTCGAAACAGTGAAGCTCTGGATGAATTGGGACTGAAGAGGTACTGCTGCAGAAGAATGCTGCTCAGTCACGTCGACATCATCGAGAAGTTGCTCAATTATGCCCCACTGGATCCATGATTTAGCGTCACATTCGTCCAATCATCCTTTGTTTTATTTTCTTTCAACTTTGATATTGAAAGTTTTTTTAATATTTTCTTAATCAAGATTATGAAGTTTTGAATAACAAATTATAAAATTATTTAAAATGCCACTGTCAAACGCAGAGCTGTTTAAATGTTGAACATAGTTTGCTCTTCAAAAAAGTGACGCTCGGGATGAATTGGGATTGAAGATGTACTGATGCAGAAGAATGCTGCTCAGCCACGTCGACCTTATCGAGAAATTATCTCAACTTTGTCCATTAATTAGCGTCATTTCACATTACTTCATTCAAACTTTTTTATTAATTAGAGATAGAAATTTTTTTCAAATAAATATGTTTTTATTCAAGATTATGAACTTGATTTTAGTTTAACTCTCAAAACAAAGTTATGAATAAATATCAAACAAATTTATTTAAAAACCAACTCTGTCAAACGCTTACTAGTTAAACTAAAACTTAAGTGCCACAAAAACTGTAGTATCCACACGACGTCAAACACGTTACGATTGCTCGTGCATGTTATACGTGCATTTCATTTTGACGTTGATATTCTTCGCAAGCAAGTATTTGGCTATAAAGTGAAAACATAGAGTCTTTACTTATTTATGTTTTTATTCAGCACTCATTGTGGCTGTTAGAGATCAATATCCCATTAATGAATGTGTGTTGCTTTACATCATTGATATAGCTAAATAGGTTCTTTTCTTTATCAAACCGTATTACAACTAGTCCGTCAAGGCATGGCTCTACTACAAACTCATTCTAGACCATTTATTCTTGTTTATGTTTTCTATGTTGATTTTCTGTCATTCATTTTGTCGAATTTACTAAACATTGAAAACGGTAGAAAAATTGTATTATTATTTGAATTTCATCAAAGAATAATTAACAAAAAATTTTAATTTAATTTAATGGCTTTGTTTGTCGTAAAAACTTCAACGTTTTCCGCTTGGAATAATTCTTTGTTACGATCGTTAATTTACGATCGATAATTTGTCTTTGTACTTTGTATATATTAGTATATAAATGCGTAGCAGCTTGGTTATATCATCACACCTTTCTGCTCTCGTTGCGTGCTTGTCGTTTTGTTTGACAACTTATTAGTATACATCCGTCCAGCAAGAAAAATGATTATTCCGATCAGATGTTTCACGTGTGGAAAGGTTATTGGAAATTTATGGAACAAATACTTGAGACTATTAGAGGCTGATTACACAGAATGGTCAGTACTTTTTTTTATTAATTTCAATTTTTGCTTTGATTTTTAATTTAGCCAAGAATTCATTTTTAAATATGAAAAACAATTTGTTCGAAACAGTGAAGCTCTGGATGAATTGGGACTGAAGAGGTACTGCTGCAGAAGAATGCTGCTCAGTCACGTCGACATCATCGAGAAGTTGCTCAATTATGCCCCACTGGATCCATGATTTAGCGTCACATTCGTCCAATCATCCTTTGTTTTATTTTCTTTCAACTTTGATATTGAAAGTTTTTTTAATATTTTCTTAATCAAGATTATGAAGTTTTGAATAACAAATTATAAAATTATTTAAAATGCCACTGTCAAACGCAGAGCTGTTTAAATGTTGAACATAGTTTGCTCTTCAAAAAAGTGACGCTCGGGATGAATTGGGATTGAAGATGTACTGATGCAGAAGAATGCTGCTCAGCCACGTCGACCTTATCGAGAAATTATCTCAACTTTGTCCATTAATTAGCGTCATTTCACATTAATTCATTCAACCTTTTTTATTAATTTAAACAAAAACATAAGTGTCACCAAAACTGTAGTATCCACGCGACGTCAAACACGTTACGATTGCACGTGCATGTTATACGTGCATTTCATTTTGACGTTGATATACTTCGCAAGCAAGTATTTGGCTATAAAGTGAAAACATAGAGTCTTTACTTATTTATGTTTTTATTCAGCACTCATTGTGTCTGTTAGAGATCAATATCCCATTAATGAATGTGTGTTGCTTTACATCATTGATATAGCTAAATAGGTTCTTTTCTTTATCAAACCGTATTACAACTAGTCCGTCAAGGCATGGCTCTACTACAAACTCATTCTAGACCATTTATTCTTGTTTATGTTTTCTATGTTGATTTTCTGTCATTCCTTTTGTCGAGAAAATTCGAATTTACTAAACATTGAAAACTGTAGAAAAATTGTATTATTATTTGAATTTCATCAAAGAATAATTAACTATAATTTTTAATTTAATTTAATGGCTATGATTATTCCGATCAGATGTTTCAAACTTTTTTATTAATTAGAGATAGAAATTTTTTTCAAATAAATATGTTTTTATTCAAGATTATGAAGTTGATTTTAGTTTAACTCTCAAAACAAAGTTATGAATAAATATCAAACAAATTTATTTAAAAAGCAACTCTGTCAAACGCTTACTAGTTAAACTAAAACTTAATTGCCACAAAAACTGTAGTATCCACACGACGTCAAACACGTTACGATTGCACGTGCATGTTATACGTGCATTTCATTTTGACGTTGATATTCTTCGCAAGCAAGTATTTGGCTATAAAGTGAAAACATAGAGTCTTTACTTATTTATGTTTTTATTCAGCACTCATTGTGTCTGTTAGAGATCATAATATAAGATAATATCCCATTAATGAATGTGTGTTGCTTTACATCATTGATATAGCTAAATAGGTACTTTTCTTTATCAAACCGTATTACAACTAGTCCGTCAAGGCATGGCTCTACTACAAACTCATTCTAGACCATTTATTCTTGTTTATGTTTTCTGTGTTGATTTTCTGTCATTCATTTTTTCGAATTTACTAAACATTGAAAACTGTAGAAAAATTGTATTATTATTTGAATTTCATCAAAGAATAATTAACTATAATTTTTAATTTAATTTAATGGCTATGATTATTCCGATCAGATGTTTCAAACTTTTTTATTAATTAGAGATAGAAATTTTTTTCAAATAAATATGTTTTTATTCAAGATTATGAAGTTGATTTTAGTTTAACTCTCAAAACAAAGTTATGAATAAATATCAAACAAATTTATTTAAAAAGCAACTCTGTCAAACGCTTACTAGTTAAACTAAAACTTAATTGCCACAAAAACTGTAGTATCCACACGACGTCAAACACGTTACGATTGCACGTGCATGTTATACGTGCATTTCATTTTGACGTTGATATTCTTCGCAAGCAAGTATTTGGCTATAAAGTGAAAACATAGAGTCTTTACTTATTTATGTTTTTATTCAGCACTCATTGTGTCTGTTAGAGATCATAATATAAGATAATATCCCATTAATGAATGTGTGTTGCTTTACATCATTGATATAGCTAAATAGGTACTTTTCTTTATCAAACCGTATTACAACTAGTCCGTCAAGGCATGGCTCTACTACAAACTCATTCTAGACCATTTATTCTTGTTTATGTTTTCTGTGTTGATTTTCTGTCATTCATTTTTTCGAATTTACTAAACATTGAAAACTGTAGAAAAATTGTATTATTATTTGAATTTCATCAAAGAATAATTAACTATAATTTTTAATTTAATTTAATGGCTATGATTATTCCGATCAGATGTTTCAAACTTTTTTATTAATTAGAGATAGAAATTTTTTTCAAATAAATATGTTTTTATTCAAGATTATGAAGTTGATTTTAGTTTAACTCTCAAAACAAAGTTATGAATAAATATCAAACAAATTTATTTAAAAAGCAACTCTGTCAAACGCTTACTAGTTAAACTAAAACTTAATTGCCACAAAAACTGTAGTATCCACACGACGTCAAACACGTTACGATTGCACGTGCATGTTATACGTGCATTTCATTTTGACGTTGATATTCTTCGCAAGCAAGTATTTGGCTATAAAGTGAAAACA